GGTAAAAGCAACTTCCCTTCCAGGGCAAAAATCAGAGTGCGAGATTCTGACGCCTTTCAATTTTAAAGAGAAAAATAAGATGAGAGATGAATAGAAAGGGGAAAATATAAAATGAGATGTCACATGTGACTTTCTTTTTCCCTTGAGGCAAGATCTTGCTCTGTCACCCAGGCTGGAGTGCAGTGGCACGATGATAGCTCACTGCAGCCTCAAACTCCTGGGTGCAGGTGATTCTCTGGCCCCAGCCTCCCAAATAGCTGGGATACAGATGTGTGCCACCATGCCTGGCTAATTTTTTTATTTTTTATTTTTAGTAGAGACAGGATCTCATTATGTTGTTTAGGCTGGTCTCAAACTCCAGAACTCAAGTGATCCTCCCACCTTAGCCTCCCAAAATGCTGGGATTGGCTGGGCACAGTGTTTTTGAGACTGTCTCAAAAACAAACAAAACAAAACAAAAAACCACAAAATGCTGGGATTACAGGCATAAGCTACTGCACCCAGTACTTGTGACTTCTTTAGGTAAGCCTAAACAGAGCTCTGAAAAGGAGGTAAGACAAATATCTTTGTCTGTATTTAAAAAAACAAAAACCTCAAAATAGAAACTACCATGCCCCTTGGGAGGCAGCCTGAATGAACCCATCCAATCTGCAAGGATGTTTTAGAAGCACCCAGTAGAGGTGCTGACACATAGATCAGTTTCAAGATATGTTGCCAGTCAAATGTACTAGGAGTTCTAGTACACTGAACTAATGGTGCCTCTAGGAAGATTTCTTCTCTAGGAAGAAATCCTTGCCATACAGTACTTAGCTTTTCATCTACATAAACCATCATAATAGTCTAGAAAAGTAATGGTGATCATTTCTATTTTCAGTTGTTTCAGCTATTTATAATTCTGCAGAGGCAAGATCTGTCTTTCCTTATTTAAGACCATTCTACTCTGTTGGGAGGCTTGTTCGCTGCTTTGACTACAAATGCAGGCCCACTTCCCTCAGATGGATGGTTTACGTAACATTTGGTTTGGCTAGGCACGGTGGCTCACGCCTGTAATCACAGCACTTTGGGCAGCCCAGGAGGATCATTTGAGGTCAGGAGTTCAAGACCAGCCTAGCCAACATGGTGAAACCCCATCTCTACTAAAAATACAAAAAAATGAGCCGTGGGTGGTGGCATGCGCCTGTAATCCCAGCTACTCGGGAGACTGAGGCACGAGAATCATCTGAACCCAGGAGGTGGAGGTTGCAGTGAGCAGAGATCGGCCACTGAACTCCAGCCTAGGTGACAGAATGAGACCTTGTCTCAAAAACAAACAAACAGCCGGGCGCGGTGGCTCACGCCTGTAATCCCAGCACTTTGGGAGGCCGAGACGGGCGGATCACAAGGTCAGGAGATCGAGACCATCCTGGCTAACAA